AACCGCTCTAATACGCCGAGCATTGCTGAGAGCACTACATCTGGTAATTATATTGGGGTCTAATCAATGAGAACGTACACCAAAAGTTGCCCAGATGATAATTAACACTGTTGCAATAGACGTGCTAGTTTATCTAGGAAAACTTTTGCATTCACTTATTGAAAGCACCCTTAAGTGGTAATGAGTTTATACCGGATTAATCGATGGCTTCTTTGCGGTGATGTTTAGGGAGTTTTATGATCGACGGAAACCTCACTGAACCGAATTCCCTGAGCGAACCACTGCTGGATAGGCCTCCCTTAGAGAAATCCGGAAGTTTTCCGTCAGTTATGTCCGATAATATCGATAAGTCGTTTCCTATGGACGAGAAACCGATACTTCTTGGACAGACATCCGAACAGAATTCTGTGGACAAGGCCTCCGAGGCTACCGGTGCCGTTGAACCGAAAACTGATGCAAATATTGTTGATATAACGGCTGATAGTGTCCCACAAAGTGTGACCAAAGAGTTACCACTGAATGAGAGCTCAAAACTCATTACAATTAGCAATAATAGCTCCGAAACATCGAAGGATTGGCTGAAGCCGTCCGAAGAATTACCAGAAGTGGAACTGTTTGACAAACAACTGGACGAATCGGGTATAGGAAAAGGTTTAACCATTTTTCTAACTATTATTTTAATGGACAAAAACTTGTATATACTTTCAGTCCATAAACGAAGGACTCATTTAACGAAATCGCGGACCGAGTCGTGCGATTTGGGTCGACCCGTGTTTCCGTACGAAATCCCGCGACAACGGAGATCCCGATCCCTTAGCAAAAGTCCCGACAAATCAATGGTTAGGCCGCACAGCGGTCGCACCCACTCGTGCGGTCGCCACCACTATCAGTGCCGACAGTGCGGCGCCGGTGTGTCTGAGCCGCCGCCTACCGTACCCTCGCTTACCATCAATAAAAGTTTGTATACAAAAACACTCGTTGGGGTCATTCACTCAGTACTTACTCTGAAACTTAATTTTAATTACAGACGTATTTTCGCTGCAAAACTTCAAATCATTTTCAATCGACACGACATATCATAACAGTCTGGCCGACGACGACGAAGACCTCGGTATTCATACGGAGAGTTATCGGTCGGCGCTCTGGCTATATGTGGGCCGTAAGGATGAGCTGATAGTATGGGGCCATAAGTGCCATAAGAAGTCTCGTAAGAGTAGTAATAATGAGAAACTGAACGGCAGTTCACCGCAAAAGCTGGTCAGATGTGACTCCAATGAGTCGACACTATCGGAGCGACAGTTCCGGCGGCAGTACGAGTCGGTCACCCATAGGATGATCCACAGGAGGGCCTCCATTGAAATGTACAAACGAGCCATTAATAAGACATTTGGTGCGAAACCATTTATTTATAGCACTTTTTTATAGCAATTTGTTAATTCATTTAATTATTTTTTATGATTAGTGATAGAAAAGGAGATAATTATCCACAGAATTAACAACGAATTTGGGTTCAGAATCCATGGCTCGCGTCCGGTAGTGGTCTCGGCCATAGAAAAGGGTATGTCCAATGATCTTTTAAAATGTACCTGTTTATAGTGTTGCAACAAATCATATTAATGAAATGGTTTTTCACAAAAAACAGACACTCCGGCCGAGACGTGTGGTCTGGATGTGGGCGATATAGTGGTCACCATAAACGGATCCAATGTGATGGATGCGTCGCACTCGGATGTGGTCAAACTGGCGCACTCGGGCGCCGACACACTCACACTGGAAGTGGTGTCCACTCGGGCGGCACTAAACGGCACCGAAATGAACGGCGAGTCGTCGTCGACGGACTCCAACACCGCTTACGATATCGTTATGAATGGATATCTCACGAGAGTTAGAGTGACCAACGATTCCGACTCCCAGTCCACCCAAACCAGGAACAGATGGTTTGCTCTCAAGACAGACAACTGTCTCTATTGGTATAAATCCACGAAAGTATGGCTTATATTATATTATATTATATTTCGTGTATTTATTGTTCACATTATATAACTTTATTATCAATATGTCTGTACAGGAAATGGATCCGTTGGGAGTGTTATGCCTTCAGGGCTATACATCGTGTTTGGCTCCAGAGCTTACTGTCCAACAGCCCTATGCCTTCAAATTAGCCAAACCGGGCGCCGGTATTAAATATTTGGCCGCAAAGGACAGCGAGACTGTGAACCAATGGGTGGACGCTATCAACCAAAGGGCTTTCCGTTTGAATAAAGTATACGATTGTATGAAATAATAATAACTATAAAACTTAATACCCGTCCCATCGATAGGCGGATCCGTACGTAGAGATGGCACTGAAGAACGTCACCAAAAGTGTGTCGGGAATGGGAACCGCGGGCGCCGACTGTTCGGGATATTTGGCAATCTTTAGTCAGCGCCGGAAGTGTTGGCGGAACCGGTATTTTGTGCTCAAAGACGCCTCACTTTACTTCTACTACGACTCCAACGCCAAGACATCACTCGGTATGCGATACTACAGTCCAACCCCTCATACAAATCTCAGGGGCCCTTCAGTTAATGCGTGCTCTTCACA